ACTCACACACACATACAAATATATATATATATATTTATATATATTTATTTATTTCTGTCAGACGCTGGGGTAAACACTGACGAATTTTATCAACGCTTGCTTGTTTCAAACAATGTTTAACAAAATGACTTGTTTCACATTTGTGAGGAAACATGCTGAACCATTACAGACATTTGAACTAATCGAAATACATTAAAACTATTCTACTTTTAGTTTATTTAAATAAACAAAACTTTACTTGTACAATTTTAACTTTCAACAATGGAAGACGTTGAGTTGACCCGTAGAACATGTAATCCCCATGTACGCTATTAAGTTCTGTGACAATGCGGCAAAACAACGGTCGGATGTTTACTATCAACAGCACCAAGTCGTTACGTACGCCGTCCAACATGTTTGTGGTCAACCTAAGTATGAGTGATTTCATCTTCTCAATCATACAAGGCTTCCCGCTGATGACCATCTCCTGTTTCAACAGACGGTGGATCTTCGGCAAAGTCGGTAGGTGAACAGTTGTGTGGGGGCTGAGATGGGTAGGGTAACAATGGTCAGGGTCAAATAAGTATAATGTAATACAGGTAGGGTTCAAAATGGAATAAGGTAACAATGGTAGGGGTCAAGATTGGAGAATGGAACAATCGTAGTGGTTAAAATTGGATATCGTAACAATGGCAGGAGTCAAAATTGGGTAATGTAACAATGATAGTGGTCAACGTTGGATAATATAACAATGGTAAGGGTCAAGATTGGATAAAAAAATTAAAATGTCTAAAAATTGAATAATGACACGATGACCTGATGGGAATTGGATCATGCACCCATACATTTTTTTTCCTGCTTTTGGGGATGATCTAATAATAAAACGTTTATTTTTTGTTTGTAAAACAAGAATTAAAATGCTTTGGTTATAATTCTTATATGTGTGAGTACATTGAAACTTAGTTTTAACATTTGAAATAGAAAGCCGATTAAAATTTGAACTTCTTATGTTCAAACGAAATACCAAGCCAAAATAAATGTGAAAATTGAAACGAATGCATGTCACATCTCTCAGCTTGTGAGTTGTACGGCCTCATTGGAGGAATCTTCGGTCTCATGTCCATCAACACCCTGGCCATGATAGCCATCGACAGGTACACCGTCATAGCCCGGCCCATCAAGGCCTCGCGGAGTCTCAGCTACAGGAAGGCTTTCATCATGCTCGTGTTCGTCTGGTGCTGGTCAACGACGTGGACGATACCTCCCTTGTTTGGCTGGGGAGCCTACATCCCAGAGGTACCATCTGTGTGATGATAGTTTGTTGTTTTCACTTAAGAGTGTACCACAGAACTCCTAACTAGGGCTTAACCGCGTGCAATTTTTATTTTTTAGCCGGGTCATGGTGTCTTGAGAAATAGACCGGCCTACAGATAGTCCTACGTCCTGCGTCCTGCGTCCAGCCTTTAAAGAAAAGTCCTAGACACAGTCCTATAGGCATTCCTACGCCATATCCGCGGTTCTTTATTGAGCAATATAATAGTCGCCTCTCCCTAAACAATTTTTATACCTGAGTTCGCGTCACGCGTGAGAGCTTTTTTCACTTAGTACTATTAATATAAAACGCGCAGATGGAGGGAGGACGGTTTTGAAAAGGAAGCAGGACACACCAGAAGCCAAATATAAATAAGCGATGTCGGCATCTCAAGTTGTAGACCAATGAACACATTTTTTTGGGGGGGTTCCCTGGTGTTTACTTTTTCTTAAAGTAACCGATAGACTAGCTATCACCAAAAATTAATCACAGCTTCAATCACGGAGTATGACACACTTAATAGTAAATTTCTGTGTTGATTTCTTGAAGTACACAACGATCTGTATCATTTTATTTTGGCTACTTTGAAAACTTCATCGGAAAACAATTTTTTACCACATCAAGACCAAGTTGGAACACATTTTAAAACAGGAAATAACAAAATCAAAGACACTTAAAGAAACGTAGACGCGGTTTCAATCGTTGTATTACTAAAAAAAAAAGGAAGTGTGTTGAGCTTTTATGTAATAGTGAAAATAAATTAATTTATAAAAGGTAATTTCAATGCCAACTTCTCGTGTGTTTCTAAAGCTTCAACAGAGAATAGAGAAACTAAACGTTCAATAAATTTCCAGACTATTTAACCTAATATTACCAGAATTAACACAATAGCTTTATAATATACATCACAGTACTACGAAAATACTGTTAGATCTAGCCTGAAGTCATTTCTCAAATACGACATCTCGTTCCTAGGGTTTTCAAACATCTTGCACGTTCGACTACTTGACGCGCAACGACTACTTCCGGTCATTCGTCCTCTGTTTGTACATTTTCGGCTTCGCTTGCCCGCTGACTACCATTCTCTACTGCTACTATTACATCTACAAGGCAGTTGCCCAGCACGAGAAGGTAAGCACGGATCACATGGGCTAATTATTGCCGATAAATTCAGCGTTTGTTCGCTTACAAGGATGACGAGGTAAATCAAATGTAATGATCCCTAGTACGCTAATCGAAACTTATTTTTTTTTAAATAAACGAATTCAACAAAAATAATAAAGTCTTTATTTATACCTTGATAGAAACCTATTTGAAGGTTCTGTATTTATTTTTGGCTCAAAGTCTAGGAATGACCCCAGTGGCTTCTAAAGTCAAAAGTACGCGAGTATTCAGATACAGATTTGTTACAACTATAATATCAATAGGGAAATAAAGAGCTAGGGGCCGGAACATAATGGGAGCCGCTTAGTCGATTGATTTGTCACGTGATGTGAGTAAAAACAAGTAAGACTTCCGGTAGGCTGTCTACAACATACTAGTGCTTGACAACAGTAGCCCGATACACACTACAACTACACAACATTTCGTCCAATGAAAATTAACAATAAAATAAACAAAGGGGAATGACTCCTGCATCAATATTGAATAAAAACGCAAATGACGTCATGAGCACGCACGGCGCTCAACAACAGCCTGCCGATAATAGTATTGATAGTTCCCATCGAATATCGCTCACAAATTTGTCTTGAAATAACTTTCTTCCTTTAATCCTAACTGACGTTTATTTATTGTCACATTTATGTATTTCATTTAAAAAACGCGTGCATTCCAGAATATTACGAAAGGTAAAATTTTTAATTAACATGACATTGGGGAAGCACTGATGAAGTATCTTTTGTTGTGTGTAGCAGCCTAGTGATGGCTTACTAACATCACGTGACTAAACAAGGAAGTGACTAAGCGACTCCCATTGTTCTCAATGTCAAGAATTTGGCACAGAGGTTTATGTCACACCTACAGTACAAAATAATTCAACACAAACTTCTAAGGGCTGTGACACGTGTAAAGGGTGGATGAATATGTAGGGATCTTAAATTCTTACACGCCTTGGTGCGAAACGACTTGGTGCGAAACGAATTGGTTCGACACGTCTTGGTGCTACACGACTTGGTGCGACACGTCTTGGTGTGACACGTCTTGGTGCGAAACATCTTGGTGCTGGTGTGACAAGACTTGGTGCGACACGACTTAAAAAGTGACCTTGTGATTTTGTGTGATACGTTTTAATCTTATCGATTGACCAATGTCTGTTTCAGCTCTGAGGGTTAGGATCCATGTTAAATCATAATTACGCATAAATGCATCAATGGTATGAAGTATATGCATTAATTCTACAAATCTGTAACTCTCAGGAAATGGGCCAAATGGCGAAAAAACTCAACGCAGAGATCCGCCAAGGACAGAGTGCCAAGAAGTCCGAGATCAAAACTGCCCGGATCGCCATGACCATCATCGTGACCTTCCTGTTGTCGTGGCTGCCCTACGCCACGGTTGCCCTCATCGCACAGTTTGGTCCGGTGGAGCTGGTCACCCCATACGTGTCCGAGCTGCCCGTCATGTTTGCTAAAGCGTCTGCCATGCACAACCCTCTCATCTATGCCCTGTCGCATCCCAGGTTTAGAGAGGTAATACCCTATATTTATGTCTGGCCTTAGTGCTAATTTAGGTTCACCGCTAAGCAAGTTTCCACAAATTGTGACACCTCCATTGTCAATCTCCAGGCAGTAGACAAACGCTTCCCATGGCTGTTGTGCTGCTGTGGCGTGACTGCCAAGGAGAAAGAGGTAGCATCTACTGCCGCCACGGAGAAGAAGTCCAAGATGAACCGCATGGACAGTGTCAACAGCACAGCGTTTGGTGGCAACCAGAGTCAGATGAGTGAGGTGAGGAATAATGGGATTATTATAGTTCTGATTTTGTACGGCAACTATAATAATTCCGCCGAATTCATTTGTAATTTGTCTGCATGTTAACATTAGTTTTGCTATGTGCAATGTAAAACACACCGAAAAATTCTAGATAGATGAAAAAACCCAGAAAAGTTAAGAAATAATTAGAAATTTGCTACCATGTTCTAAGTACAGAATCCAAAAAAAAAGGGACATCTTGTCAATTATTTTGTTCATTTTTTTTGGTTTAAAATAAAGACTACTGTGACAGGATTTTATGGGAAGTTAATCAGTTGAATGACATGTGACAACTGCATGTAACTAATTTGTACTTGGACACAGGGCCACATCTTCAAAATCTATGGATTATAAGAATTATATGTAACTTTTAGATAAATATATTGTACGTCAATGAGAGAACATGAAACACGTGAGTGTTCTGGCGAAGTAATGGAACAAATAGATGTGCGTCAGAGAAACAACTAAAATACCGTATTTGTCACATCGAGGCATGTGTCGGTTAGGCAAAACAACAGGCAAAATATCACTGCCTGTTCAGTAATATTACGCCGTGCCACAATATATTATGGGGCTCCTCATCCTGCTCTTATACGATAACGTAGCCTGTTGGTAATGTTTTGTCCACAGATTAGTAACCTGGACAGTGACACGGCCGTTGAAGAGCCCGTGGAGCCGGCCCGGCGTACAGGCATCCGAATGAAGAGCATCAAGGACAAATTGAAGAAAGAAGCCAGTCAGCCAGCTCAGCAAGACAACTCAGCACTGGTCAAGGACATCATGCAGGCATTGGCTGTGGCCATAGCTACCCAATCAGCTGGTCAGCAGGTATGATGGGGGGATTCTGGGATTAGGACTTGCTCAAAGATAATCGTCCTTAAAGTCAGATACTGACGGATCCTAAAACATGTTCCCCAACTAAGCCATCCCCGTCAACAGATCAGCTACTTCGCTAACTTATTTTTCTACTATAACCTCGCATTAATAGTCCAATTACTGACTTATAGTTATGTAACTATCTCGCAGAAAACGAATATTTGTTATACAATATTTTAAAGAGTTTGTGTAAAATTTTCTACCTCTGTATTACAGGCCCCTGTTTATCTGCCACAGCAGGTGATGGGCAGTGTTGGCCAGGAACAACAGATGCAGCAAATAATCTACGCCATTTCACAGGGCACGGAGGCTAACCAGGTCTGTGACAGAATTTTATTCCTAGTTAACTAGATGTAATTACAGTATTATTTTGTTGTTAAAGTAAGTTCACACTGTGAATTTTTCCCATGGCATAAATTTCAGTGGTCAATTCATTTTGAGAATTCAGTCAGGTAATATCATGAAGGTGAAATTCTGAAGACATAATTTCACCTCAGTGTACGGTCCCTCAGAAAATTCATTTGAACTTGAAGAAAAATTTCATATGTAGAGGCAAGTAATCCAAAAATTAATATCGGATGTAATTCTATTACTTATTCTTACTTGGCCATATTGGTCAGCATAGGTTACCTTAAAGCCAGATGGTTTTTATTTAATTCAATATGCTTATTTTCTTTGTGAAAGTAGCCGCTGGGCAGGCTATATCTTTGGTACATTTCTGAAGACCAGTGAGGTCATTTTGTTTGTTCAAAAAGTCAAGTTTTGTTATTAGCCCGTTTTATTTACTGAAGTATGAAAGAAATTCATATTCCGATATGGCTTTAACAAAAAAATTCTTCTATTAGTTTTATTCGTACAATGAAGTCAACCATGTATGTTTGTTAAGCCACGGCAGTGATGATCTTGAAGTCCTTGAATTGGTCAGGCATATTAAGATTGATTAGACATTAGACATGACATTATATTTGAGCTCAGATTATGATTAATAAACGTGTGATGGTTTGAAATAATCATGACTTTTATTCAACCTACTGTCTTCGCAAGCTGTATAAAACATTGTGCTAATGAATGGTTTTTGTATGAACAGTGCTTATGATTTTGATACTTTGTTCATTATTTGCAATATTCCTCTTGTCAATCGTCCATCGGATGTTTTGCTTACCAACAATGATTCCCAGTGAATGCCGCCTGAACAGTTTCTAATGTTGAATTCGTCGTTTCAAGTATGAATATAAAACAAATAATTTTGTTTATCTGTAAGTGCACATCATAACCATCCACGCACACACCAACACAATTACACCATTGCATTTAATAAAGTTTATGAAGAAATCAACCGTTAGTGGAAGCATCTCATCAAAAAAATTAAAATACCCGAGATGAGCGCTCAATGTTTAGAATGAGACGAAACTTTGTCTAGTTCTTTGAAATAGCTGGGGGGCTCACGCTTTGATTGAAAGATTTCCATACACGGCAGAATGTTTGAAGCGCTCTGAGAAAAATGACTTTTTCATATCAGTGTCTTTATAGAAAAATTTAATATAAATCAGATTAGTAAATTTTTAAAAATCTCCTTTTCATATACAGGCTCCACGTATTGCCCAGGCAGACACAACTCAAACTGTATCCGGTGACTCCATTTCAACTCAGCTGCCCCCACCTCTGGCCAATGTTGTGACCACCGAAGCGGAGGTGAACGGGGGCCACATCAACAAGGCCTTCCAAACAGACTGATATTTTATTGTAGCCTCCAGAAACACATCTATCTAGTTAATTTTCATAGCAACGTCAATTTTCTTTGAAACAGAGTCATCCAATAAAACATTTCCCAAAGTCAACTGTGTGATGCGACCTTTAACCTTTTCAGACCAAAACAGGAACTCTTTTTTCTTTCAAAACTCCTTCCATTACGAAGCTCAGTTATAGTTGAACATACCGGTACCAAAGACTTCATCCTTGTTACAAGACTGCACCCAAGGCATTCAGGAACATTTAGCTCTATTTGAGATCACTTAACTGTTAACACCTGGTACAAAATTATAAAATTAAATTACATGATTACAGCAAGAAGCCAGTATAGGAGCTGCTCATTCCTGCCCAAGACAATCGGGGACTGGAAGGCTTTCAAAACGAACAGTTGAGGCGACAACACTAGACTCATTTGTGTCTATTGCCTCAAGCCTTCAAACCCCCAATGCATGATTCCCTCACAAAGTGGCACTGGAAATCAGTGAAATGTCCTCATCAACACAAAGCATAGACACATTGCAAATCCCCTCTACATTCATAGGAGCCAAAATGATCAATAAATTGATCGTGGGCCCTTAAGATTTAGAAGAATATAGAAGAAGAAGACAAGTAGAAGCGAGGTCCTTGTAAAAATCATGAAAAAAATCAGAAAATAAATGCTGCGAAGGTTGTATATAAGTTGATACATAAGTATAAGAAGTCATTTTAGAGACATAACAATGAAACAATGAAAGATGAGTTAATCCCTAAGCCAACACGCACCTGGTTATGATGTTTAATGCATTAACAATTAACGATGAGACGATGTGATGGGTTTTATAAACTAATAACTGATATTCGGGTAAATAAAAAAAAAAATGCTTGTACACGTAAGACATGAAACATTTGGGATGACCCAGACTTCTGTCAAGATTGTAGTTATATTAAATAAATACTGTCCCATGTTTGATATATTATTACTTTTTAAAAATTAGCACTGTTCATTTGGTGCATTGGAAATAAAAATGCGCAATAAATTAATGCGCACCATAATGGAGCACTTGTGTACTTTGGTGCGTGAAACCAGAGTATATGTTCTCCATTTTGTTCACCCCACCAGACGCACACATGTTGGTGTATACAATATAAATATATCTCATTTCTTCTACAAAAGCCCCAAAATATTATGTCTATACATATTCATTAATGTTGTATTATAATTATTACCGGTATAAACATATCTTTGATGTCATCTGTGTTTTTTGGTCTCTTGTCTGGAAGAAGCTTGTCTGATTGTAAAATGTACAATTCGTTGGATTCTATCGCCACATATTCACAGTTCAACCATTGATAGTCTATCCACTATCGTAAGTCTGTGATGGGCGTGTTAAACAAAATGTAGTGTCAGTTACGCACTTAATACAACGCATTCTGACGGCGATCTTCCTAAACACAACTCATGGGAACAAATCGTTGAGCTTCATCAGTAAACCAAGGCCCCCGTGTAGCGCGAAGTCAAAGCAACAGCTGATGCAGATTTTCAAAGCTGTTAAAAAATAAACCAATTAACTTTAGCGCCCCTTTTGCACTATGGATTATTGGACATGCAAAAATATATTTTTGATGCAAGGAGCTGCTTTGTCAGTCAACAGCGCATGCCTAGAAATATTCAGCCTGAGAATTAAATCACTCCAACCAAATGTAACATTTTTTTTCAGCGTGGTGCTAGTCCTCTTAATGGAATGACACATTCCCATAAAAATGTCCTATATTTGGGGAAAATGGCGGGTGAAAGGGAAACCATGTTAAATTACCTTTGAGAAACCACAACATATTTTTCACATCTTTTGTTCGTAACAGGTGTAACAGTAAAGAAACCAAACAAAAGTGATATGACTGAAGAAAAGTGTATTGCCAAATTGAACAGGACCAAGTATAGAGCCTATCTCTATAGTTTATAACGTTCGTAAATCAACTTAACTGGCCCAAGTGCTGCCAGTAAGCTGCACCGACATCAAAGGATTCCATTTATAAATATAGTTAAATGTAAAAAAAAAAAAAATTGTTCTGGAAAACATCTACTTTGATTTTAAATGGATAACAAAACAAATTTGTTCCACAAAAAAGAATGGGGAGTATTGGCTAAAAGAGCAAATAACAAAAACAACAAGCTAATAAAAACCAGCCCGTTTAAAGAGGAATACGATGGCAACCTCCGAGATTTTACGCCTTAAGCCGGTGTCCGGAGATCAGTCTGCTTTATTACAAATGTCCAATGTACTAGCAGCACTCATTGTCTTAGGATGCAGAGGTAATTTACGGTTTCCACATTTATTGCTTATCTTTTTTTCGCACGGATAAAAATCAAAATTATGACGATTAAGAAAACAATGGAATTCTCATTTTATGAATGGCCCTCAGAATAAGAACTGCAGATTAACATTACGTTGATTTAGACCTCGTTGAAAAGGACGCTCGACCATAACGGCTCTCTTCAACAGGGACCAGAAAGACTTGTCAGTGGTGGCCGCTAAAGCGCTTTTCCTCCGTTCACCCAGATCATTTGTTTAAAAATGTTCTCGGCGAATCATTGGTTAATGTTGTCAAGTTATAGATAAGTAATTATAAATAATACTAATAATATCAAGTATCAAATATTGTCAAGTTATAGATAAGTAATTATAAATAATACTAATAATAATAAAGTTTATTTTTTTAAAATTCACGCTTCATCCCCCAAAGGCTCGAAGCGCGGTACAAAGTCAACCATATTAAAAGAGAAATGAAACAATCTATATTTTACCACATTAAAACACAAAACGCAACTGTACAAAAACTACAAACGAGCATGCCCATTCAAAGTCTTTCATCCCTTTCAACTATAAACAACACACACCAATATACATCTAGGACAGGGGTCGGGAACCTTTTTGTCTGAGAGAGCCATGGACACCACATATTCTGAAAAGTAATTCTGTGAGAGCCATACATTATGTTTAAAACTAAAAGTTAAAGTCAATCTGTGCATTTTGTGTAATTTCAACACTAAAAATAGAATAATTATGTCTATGAATTCTTTTTAATAATATTGTTATTGTGTTTCTAACCAAATATTGATATGCAATTAATATATAGATCAAATGAGTCTAAAGAAACATTTTTTTTTAAAAAATCAAACATTTGTCTGCGAGCTAGATGCAGCCATCAATAGAGCCACATCTGGCTCGCGAGTCATAGGTTCCCGACCCCTGATCTAGGAGATAATAACTAGCTGGAAAAGTTGGTAGACAAAATCACACCAGAAGGATCTTTGCGAAATAGTGTACACAATATATTTTCAATGATGGGATTCAGCAGATTGGTACAGATCCGAGAGAATTTTAGTGACATGTGTCCCATTCGCCGAGCCAGCTCCTAGGTGTACTTATGGTGTACTACACTCGTTTCTTGTTTTGCCGTGAATTAGATACACATTTCTCAAAGTGGAACCTGGAAATGTCGAAATTTCAAAGAGATACGTTACAGGATCATTGTTACTATTGGGGATGTTTTGAGCTGTATCAACATTGTCTAAACACTAAAAGACTTAATCTGCAACAACTAGTGATTAGGAATTAGAATTTAAAAGAGTTTACGAAATGGCAAGCGAAACCTCCAACTGTAATAACAATCTTTAGTGAAATTCTTAAAAATAGAATAAGCCTAATAAAAATAAAAAAAGTTTTGATAAAACAATTAACTTAGGCTTCTTCAAAGAGTGAAATAAAAAGATTTGTTAGAGCCCATTTACAAAACAACAACAACAACCTCCATATCTGGTTTTTCTGAAGCATTAAAAAATAAAATGAAAAAAAAAGCTGCTTGCATGAGTAATTTTTAATATAACAACTTGTTATTTTACTAAATACTGCCCCAAAAACCAACCACAAAACAACCAAAAAACAACCAAAAACCAACCACAAAACAACCAAAAACCAACCACAAAACAACCAAAAACACCCACAAAACCAACCACAAAACAACCACAAAACAACCAAAAACCAACCACAAAACAACCACAAAACAACCAAAAACCAACCACAAAACAACCAAAAACCAACCACAAAACAACCACAAAACAACCAGAAACCAACCACAAAACAACCAAAAACACCCACAAAACAACCACAAAACAACCACAAAAAAAACAAAAACCAACCACAAAACAACCACAAAACAACCAAAAACCAACAACAAAATAACCAAAAAACAACCACAAAACAACCACAAAACAACCAAAAACCAACCACAAAACAACCACAAAACAACCACAAAACAACCACAAAACAACCACAAAACAACCACAAAACAAACAAAAAACAACCACAAAACAACCACAAAACAAACACAAAACAACCAAAAAACAAACACAAAACAACCAAAAAACAACCACAAAACAACCACAAAACAAACACAAAACAAACACAAAACAAACACAAAACAACCACAAAACAAACACAAAACAAACACAAAACAAACACAAAACAAACACAAAACAACCACAAAACAACCACAAAACAAACACAAAACAAACACAAAACAAACACAAAACAAACACAAAACAACCACAAAACAACCACAAAACAACCACAAAACAACCACAAAACAAACACAAAACAACCACAAAACAACCACAAAACAACCACAAAACAAACACAAAACAACCACAAAACAACCACAAAACAAACACAAAACAACCACAAAACAAACACAAAACAAACACAAAACAAACACAAAACAACCACAAAACAAACACAAAACAACCACAAAACAAACACAAAACAACCACAAAACAAACACAAAACAACCACAAAACAACCACAAAACAAACACAAAACAACCACAAAACAAACACAAAACAA